TAATATATTTTTTAAATTAAAATGTGGGTATGATTTACCATTTTAAAATCCTCATGATGAGCCCTTTAATTTGATATCCATATTGCAGAATCCAATTTATTATTTATTTTAAACTATAGCGTCTTACATTCGTCATGTTGTTTCTTTTTTGCGTCACCTATCTAAAAACACGGTTGGATTACCAACGATATGTTAATTAATCAAATCCGTGCAGCGGTTTGGAGGATATGAGGTAATAAAGAATATTACATGCATACATACAGGATACGCGCGAAAAACATAGAGTTATCTCTTCCTTGGCAGTCTGGTAAAAATAAGAATGAAAGAAATATACGAATGGACATAGTATAATCACTTATTTTATTACACATGGTACACTCTGGTCCTAATCCATGAATAGGCAGGTTATTATTACACTATATTCGATTACAATTTCTTTTATTTGCAACGCGGCAACTTAGTCAAATATTTTAATTCTTACCCAACTTTAACAAACCAACCTCTAACAACATTACATAAAAATAGGAAATGGCGCGCAATATTCCTGTCAATATTTTTGAAATAGGAACGCGTCTTTTTATGGCTTTCAAACAATATTTGTTTGTGAACAATATTTGTTTGTTTTGTTTCAAGTAATTAGTCGATTGAAAAACAACTTAACTACTTGTTACGGGACAATCCAATTCTTGCGGATGTTTATTAATAAAATAAATAGCTTCTTATCCATTTCGCAATAAATGTTATGAACCAGAATACGTCCCATTTGTTTAATGTTTGTCTGTTTAATTTATCCTCAATATTCACGAAAGATTTGGTATTTACACTGAAATTTGTACTATTTTGGTAGCAATAATCTACTTATTTCCCCATTTGAATACTCGGAACGAGTGTAAACATCAATTCATGTACGTATTACACGAATTACCTAGTTTGATAATTAATAAATACGTGTTTAGAATTGATCTTCATAATTATTATAATAGGACTATACTAGAGGACATCTTTAAATGCAATATTTATAGACCCGCTCCGATGACTCCGATCCTGCCGGCCGTTGCCATTTGCGATGGACGTACGGATAGACGGTCGTTGGGCCCCTGCATTTTATATCTCTAGTATCTTCTAAAATATTCATTTTAATGATATGCTGTGAAGAGCAATTTTAATCTACATTAAATGCACAACGTATCTAACGTATTTAATTGAATAAGGAATAATAATTTATGGGTTAAAATAGCTTCGTAAATAATCCATTGCTTTTTTGTAATATTTAAAAGATAGAAATGGTTACTGTGGATTATCCTTAGGAGATAGACATAGACATCGCAGATTTTTCTGTAAATCTTTGTATAAGGTATATTATTCCGTAGTACATTATTTGGTATATCTCGTAAGATTGCCCGCGTCTCCTCCAGTGTGTACGTCGCTTATCACGGTAAAAAGTACCCTATGCCATTTGCTGATAATGTAGCTTTATCATTGGTGAAATCGGTTTAGTGGTTTAGGCGGGAAAGCGGCATAGGCAGGTATGGATTATTTATTTTCATTCCGCTGTTGTGGTAGAATGTAAGATCCAATTTTTATAACATTACTTATGTAACTACATTATTAAGATATCAATATTATTATTATTTGATTGAACGGATAAAGCAGTTGGTTAAAATTTGTAGGTACCTGTCTAAATAAAATAATGTACGGATAAACAGAGCAGTAGTTCTAACCCATAAATTATTATTCCTTATTCAATTAAATACGTTAGATACGTTGTGCATTTAATGTAGATTAAAATTGCTCTTCACAGCATATCATTAAAATGAATATTTTAGAAGATACTAGAGATATAAAATGCAGGGGCCCAACGACCGTCTATCCGTACGTCCATCGCAAATGGCAACGGCCGGCAGGATCGGAGTCATCGGAGCGGGTCTATAAATATTGCATTTAAAGATGTCCTCTAGTATAGTCCTATTATAATAATATTATAATTAATTACGCCACACTGACTCTACAACAGTAGTATTAGTAGTACCTACATTGCACCCGTGCGAAGCCGGAGCGGATCGCTAGTGTATTATATAATAATTACCGCTATAATAAATACATAATATTATCACATAATTTTGAGTCACAACCACAGAATGTAGATTTTGTTATTAGCACAACAGATTTACTGATCTATTAGTCATTATTATTAATTGATTTATATTCTACCACAATAACCTAAGAATATTTGTCACTATAGCCACAATAAATACGAAGTCCACTATAATAAATAGTTTTAATGCTTGCATGCTTGATACACTGTATTGCATTTAAGTAATACATACATAAATATTGCAAGTAGTTTTCCTTTATGCGTTTTTTTTTTAGGGACTGTTGGGACTAACCCTTCCCACACGGTCACTACTGTAGTTTCTGTACACCAGGATCAACAGCACACAACATTACAAGGATTGGCCGATAGGCGTGGGAAGCATTCTTACCCCGGGATAGGGTCTGGCTAGGCGCGACGTCGATCCGGGGGGGTTCCTGAAATAACATGGTTCGGGTCCTCCCCAGGGCAGGGCGTCTAAGACCGGCTGTCGGGGTGGTGTTTAGTCTAAACACCTGCGTGCCCGAAGAGCCGGAGATCCGAAGGCATTTTCTACCCCGTCAACAAAAACAAAAAAAGGATCAACAACAGTGACCCACGAACACAACAAATTACTCTTGAAACACTCAACGAAATTAATCAGAATTAAATTGGAGGAGTTGTAAATAAAATAAATGGGTTTATGCGTCTATAACTAGACGTAATAACATGACTAATACAGCATTTTAAATTTTTTAAATAAGAAATGATTATACAAATTTACCTATCTGCACACACACATTCAAAGTTAACAGACGTTTATAAGAAGGTTAGTAGGTCATTGTCTTCTATACAAAGTTACCCTCGCACAAAAAACACGAGTATCATTTGTTGTTTCTTCAAACTACGTTGTCCTTCGGAGAGAAAGTAAAAGCGACATTATACAAAGGAAACCGCTGTTAGAGGTTACCTTGATACGTTTGCTCGGTTTAGTCGATCCCTGGACTTCCCTAGTATTCCCTACTCCAGCTCCACGGTCAACAGTTTATTCATGTATCGCCCTCCGGCGCCTTAGTGTTAATCAAATGCAAAAAATAAGCAGCCTACATTTACAAATCAATATTAAATGCATTGTTCGTAGGCGTAGATTGTCTACTCTTTCTTTTATGGATGAAAATGTAGTTTTTTTAATATAATGTTGCATCATATAAATGTATTATTGCCAGTAAGAAACTTTTTAATTAAATTTATTTACGTGATACACTTATGTCAAACATGAACTGTTTTGACCTATTTGTTTGCAACAGTGATGTTACACAAAAAATAAATTTATCAAGTACAAACATATTATTTCGTAATAAAATAATGTAGGTACGGAATGTTTCAATTACCCACTTAAACTTTACCATAACTCATAAACCACAACATGTTATTGAATACAATAACATTATATTGCACAACATCTGTTATAGAGAATTGGAGAAGTGCGACATGTTTTCTTTCTAAAAATAGAACATAAACAAGTACTACAAAGTACCTATATACCTACCTTTTCGTAGTTATAGATAGGTATCTACTTGAAGGCTACAAACTGCGTGACATGAATTAAGAAATTGAGGACTGTTTTTTTCTGCGCACAATGTGACATGATAAAATGTGTCAAAATAACTGATACTTAGCCCCAAATACTATAAAGATCTACTTATCGACAAAGATTTAGCGTAGAAATGTGTCTTAATATATATTGTTTTGTTAATTGGTTTTGCAAAGGACATTTTCAAGGAAAAAGTTTTGTTAAATACCACTGACGTACATTGGTCACCGTTATATGATTTTCTGGCATAAACAATCATTTTTGTAGTCATATAACGTTGTAACTTTTTTAAATATAAGATCCGAGTATCCAACCGACCGAATAGTGAAAAATAATAAAGAAGAAGAATAAGTATTAAGAATAAAAACGAGCCTCTGGACCCGGTTAGTCAGAGTTTTCATGGTAACAAAATGAAACACATACGATTAAGTACATAATTATCGTATTTGAATAAAGATAACGGGCAAATTGTCTAGTGTTATTAGGACCATCAAATGATAGCGCCACTCGACGACCTACGCGATAAGATAACTAGGCCATACAGCACATTCCTGTTGAAACGTGAAAATTAGTTATGCTACCGGATTTTAGAGTTGTACAAGAAAACCATTTGAACAATAAACAAACCCAAATTAAACACAATTATTTGTAACTAACGCAATCATACCGTTTCCTCCAACAAATAAAACCCAAGCTCGGTGGGAATTCCGAATGCAACGGATAAAACGCGCACAAACCAGCTCGCAGTTGATAACCTTAAATATCGTGGAATCTTTCGATATCAGTTATGCCCCCTCTGACGCCGCGGTTTCAACGAGTCCGGGGGGCAGGGTAGGCCACCGAACTTGGCCATTCAACGAACACGTTACGACCCGAACGCCGGATTGCGAAGAGTATTGTGAATTGTCCAGCGCACACATTTACTTACCTCGTAAGAATACTAGCGTAAACACAGTCACTACATACGCAAATTACTAACACAGAGAAAAATACAAGCTCTATTCGGAGAATCCCCTTCAACACTACCGAAGTTCTATACGCACATTGACAAAGTAACGCGCATGCGCTTGTAAGGGTATAAATAGATGTCACGACGTCACAGCGGCACATTCTGCCCAGACCTTTCAGAGCAAGAACACGCAAGTTTAGCTCCTAAAAGTTGTGAAATCATTGTGACATAAACTAAGTTCAACAATCTGTGAACCTACCCATTTGGATTACATCAGAGGATTTGAAACTTTGTGTGAAGTGTTTGTGACAATTCCAGTGAAGAAAGCCGTGACAGTGCCTACAATTAGTGATTTAGAGTTTAAAAGTATCAAACTGAATAACAAAATGTACAAAGAATCAGTCGTTCCTGTCAAAGCTGAAACCTTCAGTGGAGTGGCAGCTAAAAGGTAATTATGAGATAATGAATTATTGTGCAATCAATAAACCAAGTTAGAAATCAAGCTTCTTTTTTGAGAGCATTTCCTTGCTTCTAATTGTGATGGTAAAATCATTCAATTTAATTTGTTGTTGTAAAACGAGCATGAGTCCTGAATCATTCATTGGTTATTTTTAAAATCCTTGATAATATTCCCTATTGCTTTAGCAACAAGGTACCATCCTCAGTTGTCTAGTGTCAGTATCCCCGCCTGTAATTATTATTAAATAGTTTCACGTTTTTTTTTTACATTTTAGAATAAGTTTTAGAACTAACTAACATTGATGTTCTCTTTTGCAGCGCCATATGTTCTTCCATCAAGACGGTGCTCCGAAGGGCTTGTGTGGAGAAACGCCTGACTGTAGGCCTTCTCCCCGCCATTCAGTACCTGTCGAAGAACACCAATCGGGCACTGTTCTGCTTGACGACAGAGGCTCGTCCTGGCGACAGTGCCACTCACATGCAGGAGGTTTTACTCCAGGCCTTCTGTGTTGAGAACGATATCTATGTCATTAAGGTAAATATCTCAATTACATTTCACTGTAAAACTTGTTTTTACTAAAGAGCTTTCATTCGTAATATTGTGCAATAATAAAATTATCTTAATACTTTTCCTCATGGCAACAGCGATCTGCTACTAGTTGAACAAATAATGACTAACATTCAACCATATTTAAACTGTAGTTTCCTGTAAAAATAAAACGCTGTATTTTTTTATGTTGGCGTAAAAAAAAGTCTTAATAATTTTCGGATAGCAATGATAAAAATTTAAATTAATATAATTTCCAGTCATTAATATCAATTTTTATTTTGTCTCCAGATTGATTCTGAGTCTAAAGTAAGGAAAATACTAGGCTGCTGCGGGTCTTCAATGGACTACAGCTGCCTCCTGGTACATTATCCATACACAGACCCATTTAGCGACAGTCAAGAATTTGACTTATCAGCATTGTCGGATGCTGAGAGAGATCTCATCGAACACTGTGAGATGAATTGGGGATGCCTACAGATCCCAGTCGTTAAGCTGCCCGAGAAGTGAAATCTTTGAAAATAAAAATAAAATTTGGAAAAAAAATATTGTAAGACCATTTGGTCCGTTTTGCCAACTCGGTGTTAGGTGCGGCTTTGGCGTAAGCGCCATCTATTGTCTATAGTTACAATCGCGTCTGTGAGAGATATTTTATCGTGTTGTATCTTACCCTGTGATTTTACTATTGTGGATTGTTCTTTAAAAGTTCGTAAAATTGTAGGAAGCTTTGTCTATTCCTAATTTTTTAAATAGGTATAGACTCGTGGCATTTATGCCAATAAAAGATAAGAAGATTGTACATTGTCTATAGAAAAAATTACGAAAACATCACTCAATGAATTGTAGATGTTATGAATTGTTTGCAATTTGGATGAATTTTGTAAAAAAAGAATGAAGATTTCGTGAGGAGATATTGTTGAATTTGTATTTTTATAATGTAAATAAATGATTGATAGAAAAATATATTTGTATTATACTGACAATTTTTTTTTATTTCACACCATCTTCAACCACTAAACCAGAGGTGTCCAGACTTTTTCTCATAGACTACTTTCAAAATTTAGCTGGTTCCGGCGGCCCCCTGCAGCTACATTTCTACCATATTCCCAAAACTTGACAAAAAATGTGAAGATTTAAATGGAATATGCAAGTTACAAGTAACATTCGCTGAACTTTTTAAAATATTATCTGCCTTCATGTCTATAAATTTTCATGTACCTACGAATTATGCACCCCCAATTTATTGTCACGGCAACGAAGACCCCCGCTGAGTCGCCCGTGGACACCTTGGGGTCCACCTGGATCACTTAGAACTAAGGCACTAAACGAATCACTGGTAGTATTTTAAATTGATTGATTGTTTTTCTTGAAATTATAATGCATAAAAGTAAATAAGTTTTTCTTGGCACAATGGCCAAGTAAAGTGCTGTTCCATGACACGTAAATTAATTCTTAATTTGTATGTCTTGGTCGGCGTTTGCATGTTCATTTAAACTTGATGACACATGACAGCAGATTTTATGCATATAAGAGAAATTCTTGCAATAAATTTTTGATCGACTAGAGAAAACGTGCACCTAAGTAACTATATGATATACGAGTATATGACCGCGTACAAGTATATATAGCTGAAAGAGAAAAATACAATCACTTGATTTCATGATGAAATTAAAATCGTAAGGCGTTTCAATCAGTTGTCGGGATTAATAACTGACCTAATTCAGATAAAATAGTCTTCTGATGGCGCCAATTGAGAGTAATAATGCCGGGTAGAGCACAAATGTTTCAATAGAAAAGTCTAGTCAAACCCGCTTTTATCAATAATTGTAAACATATTTATCAAACGCATTTATACAAATTCGGTTTACATGATACCTGTTTGGGCTTGGAAATAACTCAGGTAAAAATCATAAAGGTTATCGACCACTAATTGAAAAATATTAAAACCTACACTTTTTTTTCTTTAATGCGTTACACTAGCTCCATCTACTATGCAGTAGATAAAATAGTTTGAAAAACATTGTTTTTGAGTTTGATAAACATATACAAGGTACTCTTTAGTATTAATTTTATCGAAAGTGTAGTATGATTTACGTCCTTTTACAATTGACAACGAATGAGATCTTTATAAATGAATGTGTTCTAGTCACTGATTTTTACCGAATATTCCTTCTTCTGTAGTGGTTTAGTTCAGTTTCCCTAGATGACACTAGTGGTAGAAAATCTCAGTTGTAACACCTTCTTCGTAGTTCTTCTCACACAGCTTAAGTGAGGGCCAAGTGCGAGTTTATTTCACTTCTACTTGCATTCGGCCCTCAGAAGGCCTAGTCACCTAGTGTAAGTTTATTTCACATGGACTCTCTCACGAGGGCGAGCGCCACTTGTACCGCCGAACGCAGTCACCGTGACGATCGAGTAGAAGTGAAATAAACTTCCTCAACTCAACTTTCCTCGGCCCTCAGACCTCTAAAATCCAAGCACTAAGCGATGTGGAAGTTCTGTAGAGACTGTTGTCGAACTTTTAGAGTTCCAAGTATAACATTGTTTGCCACAGATGTTCGTATGGTAACCGGGACAGACGACGGCTTAACGTGCTCTCCAATGTTCAAGAAATTCTCATAAAAGTAATTTCAATGATAGCGTCATCTAACGAAAATTACTCGAAGTACTTTGGAACTGTGTATCATTCAATGGAAAAGGTGGGTCGTCGACTTTAAGTACATCGTTATCGTATAGATTTCGAGTTACATCAAATTTAAGTTTTTTTTAATGTACGAAAGAAACAAATTAAAATATAACGATAAGGTTTAAAAAAACGTTTCATTTAGTTTAGAATGGTTTATTTTGAGATAGTAATAGAGAAGGATTTGACTTCATTGTGGTTGGCGCTGGATCTGCTGGGTGTGTGGTGATGTATGTTAAAAATAGAGAACATTAATTAATCAACAATCGAAATGGTTTTAATATATTAATATACCACTGTAACATTTAAAAGTAGTGACATGAACATTAAAAAATAAAATTATTGCAAAAAGCCAACATCACGTGGTATTCCCAGGCGGTCACCCATCCAAGTACTAACCACGCCCGATGTTGCTTAACTTCGGTGATCGGACGAGAACCGGTGTATTCAACATGGTATGGACGTTGGCATTTAGTCTTGCGAAATTATGTGTCTAATTCAACTATCAACTCTATTTATAATTTTGTACGGATGTGGTTTAAGAGCCCCCTCGCCGCTTCCTACTGCCCTGAGTGTTGTGGATTCGCACGTTTATGAACAAAACAAAGCTACAAATTGTACGTAAACTTTTTTTTGTAGTAATATAAAAAAATGCAATATGATTAAAAATTATATTTAGTTTGATTTATGGATTGCCCATTGTAATGTTACAACGATATGTGTGTAAATTTATGTAGATGATAATAAACTCTTAGATGTGGTATTTTTTCTTCAAATTCAAATGGGAAAAACGTAAAGAATACTATTATACACCCATATAATATAAGACACCCACAGGAGGAATACGGAGTGTCACCCTATTCCTCCTGTGGGTGTCGTAAGAGCCGACTAAGGGAGCCAACTACGCAGGACAAACAGCACTGCAAAGAAAAGGAAAACTTGAAACAAACCCTATACTAAGCCGTCTGGCCAGCGTGGTGGTAGGCCAAAACCTACTTTCTATGAAGAGGCCAATGTCCAGCAGTGGACTATTAAAGGCTGTTGATGATGATGATGATACATACACTCACGTATTTATCTTCGAAGTAGTATATAAACGCTCAAACGCCTTTTTTAAATAAGTTAATAAAACGGTAGAAATTTTTATCCTTACTAATCACGAAACACACCGGATTTTTTTTTCAGGTGCTCCTTCTAGAAGCTGGTGGAGAACAACCTACCAAACCACTCTTGTGCCAGCTCTTTGGTCTTCCCTAATTGGGTCCAATCTTGACTGGAACTACTCAACCGAACCTGATGGCCTGGCTTGTCTTGCGTTCCCTGGAGGACGTTGCGTCTGGGCGAGGCATTAAGTACATTGTAAGATATGCCTGCCGTACTCCATACCTGTTTCAAAAGAGTTACGAAGAATTTTCTTTACGTAAATAGATCATCAAATCATATGATACAATTTCCAGGGGAAAAGTGATGGGCGGATCCAGTTCTATTAACACCATGATCTATGCAAGAGGTAACAGCCTTGACTTCGATAAGTGGAAGGCGCTAGGGAATGAGGGATGGAGTTACAAAGACGTAAGAAATGTTCAATACAAATACTCTACAGTTGGTATTTTTTTGCAGTTTTTTTTTCGGGTTTCTTCTGTAGAGCGTGCGTTTCCATAAAACTTGTAAAAAGAAAATTTTGACAGGTTTTTAACTTTCTAGATTTGAATAAAGTTTTGAACAGAACAGAACAGAAAGCTTGCCAGAAATTTGATAAATAGCTAGACAATCTCTTACTTAAGGCTTGACGTTTGATAAGACAAATGTCACATGGCGAAAATGTGGTTACACTATACACCCTTAAACAAAAATTGAAGTTGAATGATATCTGTGAGAAACTCTTAGTATGGTTAAGTAATGGCAATTATTTCTCATCAAAGCCGAACCTTAATTAACCGTATATCTAACATATTATTCGTTAATAAGTTAAGATAGAATACACGAATGACAATGACATACTACATGAATACCTTTCCATTTTCTGATGTAGGTGCTGCCTTTCTTCAAAAAGTCTGAAAGGAATCTGAATATAGAAGGTCGAAACCGTAAATACCATGGCGTCGATAGAAATTATACGTCCACAATGTTTCATCTTGTTGGGACTTGTAGAATGGGTCCGAAATGGGTCGGGAACGCAGTCGTAAACCCGAGACTATCGGTGCACGGCATCTCAAGACTTAGGGTTATAGATGCTTCTATTATGCCCCAAATAGTCCGTGCCAATCCGCATGCAGCAGCTATAATATTTGGTGAGAAAGGTGCACATTTAGTTTATGAAGACTGGTTGTAAATTATCTGTCCTGTACATATCCATTTTGATGTAAAATGTCATTTAGTTGATTTATACTCGAAGCCATTTACTTTATTTTGAACTGAACATAAACATAACTAAATTAAACGGCTTAAATAAAGTGCGAACAAACCAAAACTTTAAAAGGTATTCTAGTAGTTACCAGAGGTTTGCCGAAACGGTCGGGTTCTTATAAGATTTTCAGGCCAGTTCTATAAACTTCTGGAACCCGCTGCGATGTTTTGTAATCTCATTCCAATTTTACAATTCGTCGAATAAATAAGTGCGAAGAACAATGAACAATAAAGCGATTATATAGTACATCAGCTGTACCCTGCCACGCTTTGCTGTAACAGGAACCGTGAAGCGATCATTTCTAAGTGATAGAACATACATTACATATAAGTTTAAATATTTACGCCCATATTCCTGAAGGGGTAGACTGATGAGTATTTAACGTTCACATGTTTTCCGACTATTTTTTAGTCCTACTTA